AACCGTCAAACTAGCTACCCGGTGCTGGGAGAGGGAACTGGCACATCCCTGTGGCATTTTGTTGTCAGACAAACTGTTGCCATTGCGCGGGCCATTTCAGAGCCGTGTGCCCTCTCGCTGCCCACCAGAGCGCACTGCTGCTCCCTGAGCTGTGCCCGGCCCTCCTCCCCCTGATCCGAGGGCTCAGGAGATGTGTCTACACTGTGTGTGGAGCAGAGCACTGCAGAGGCAGCTAACATTTGCAAGTAATGAAAAGAGGTATCTCTCCCTGGCCTCAAAGCTTCCTACGGGAAACTCAGATGGGGTGGGGTGGGGTGGGGGGAGGGGGAGAGAGGAGAAAAGGGACCCGAGGTGTGGGACACCAAAGAGGTCTTAGGCCACTTAGGATGGTACAGCCAGTGCCGTGGGAAGCCAGACCTGCCTCAGGCAGAACAGCAGGCAAGGGTCGGGGGACCTTTGTCCCCTGGGTCACCAGAGACCCCAAGATGCAGTGGGAAGAATCCTGGGGGTGGGGACTGTCCAGAGCCCTCATCCCAGACTCTGCCACATACAAGTCCTCTGTCAGTGTGAAGCATCCTTCTGTCAACACCACGGACCCAGCTCCACCTCAAGGGTTAGATGAATCCACGTTTATCAAACAGCACTGAGCTGGATTCCTCCCTTCTGACCGTGCATCTTCTGGGGCCAGAGAGGTGAGAACTTCCTTCCTTTACAGCTCCCTCAGGGAATGGGAAGGCTCCCGTGCATTTGTGACAGCCCAACATCACACTTAGAGAACCGTCGTTCTGTGAGAGAGAGCAGGTTATGACAAGTCTCCCTAAGAGGCAGGAATTTAACTCAGTTGTTCTGCTTCTCAGCCCGTGCTGGGGTGTCTCCTCTTGCAACCTGGACCCTGAGTCCTTACCTGCCCAGAGTGCTTCCTCTTCCTCTGGCCACCTTGGCCCGGCTGGAGCTGAGCCTGTGGTCAGTGAGGTTGCTTTTGCCCATCACAGGGCCAGAGCGGTAAAGATGGGGGTCACTGCACTTGGGAGGCCCTGAAAGTGAGGCCCTGGTGAAAAGTGCCAGAATCTGAAATATGCCCCTACTGCCATTTCTTTCACTCCACACATGCACCCACATGCGTGCATGCACGCCCCTGTACACAACCACACATGCACACCCTTGTATGTGCACACCCCACGCATGCACACCCCTGCACACCCCTGCACATGGGTGCACGCCTCCACACACACACAAACACACACCCTTGCACATGGACACGAACATACCCCTGTGCATGACATGCAGCCCATGGCACATTCATGCACACACATGCACACAGGCATACCCCCAATGCACACAGGCACACCCCCCCACAGGGAATCCATATCTTTCCACCAGTGTGTCACTTCCCGCCAAGCCTGTATGGATCTGAAATTCCCAGAAGCAGGGGCTCTAGGGAGAGGTCACCCCACCTCCGCTTGGCAGTGTGTTAAAGGGGCAGAGGCCCTAGGCTGTGCCCAGAAAGCTCTGCCCTTGGCTCCCTGCGGGGTATAGGTGCAAGCAGAGACTCTTGCCCAGACAGGGCAGAACTGTGTAAACAGCTCAGTCACCTCAGGAAACAGTCTCAGGAAGACTTTTTCTAAGTCTGTTAGCAGGTACAATTTAAAACAACTAAACGAATAAAAATTGAAAAAAAGAAAACCACCTTCCCCAGGAGACAAGCAGTTAGCGGCGCCCGCTGTGCTGGAATTCGTTTCAGGTGCGAATTCTTAACCCTGGCTGTAGCCAAGCTGCCTTAGAAATACACCGACCTTTGGGCCCACTCTTGGCGGCTCTGATTTAATTGATCTGGGCTGGCGCCGGGTATCAAGTCTTCAAAGCTCCCCCAGGAAATCTACGATCTAATGAGCAGTGATAGTTGGGAAGTAGAAAAGTTGAGGCTGTGGCTTTTCAACGCCCCCCCCGACCCCCGACCCCCCC